GTGATCCTGTTTAAATCACAGGCATTATTTTTCTATTAAGTGAAAAGTTCTACCCAGTGTTTTGCCATCATAGCATTAACTGCTCTGGTAAACACAAGCACTTATTACAGGCTGTTATGACAACTTGTGTCCAGAGTCTTGGGGACAAAAAAAATCCTAACCCACACAAACAAAAACACCAGCACAAAATTTAACCCTTTAAAAATCTGAACTTCTAACCTTTCTTCATACTCCAGTTCTCCATTGGTTATGTCACAGAAATATTTTTCTTGCAAAACATCAGGCTCAAGTTTCTAGGCTTTCCCTCAAATTCTCTAAACCTCCAGTTCATATCACAGAATAAAAAAGGGGAAACTTTCAAGTATTCTGAGCATCTGCTTCACTAAAAAAAATAAACTAAAAAATGGCAGTGCTGTCTGCCAACTTCTGCTCTCCATACAGGAATTTATGTTACCCTGTGATCATAAAGAACAGGTGGATGATGCACTCTACAGACAGCTCAGAGTAGCCTCACATTAGCACACCCTGGTCCTAACGAGGAACTTCAACCACTCAAATATCTGCTGTAGGAAAAACACAGCAGGGCATGGCCAATCCAGCCAGTTTCCAGAGGGCCTCAATAAGAATTTGCCAACCCAAGATACAGACATGATCAGGAAAGCTGAAGTCCACCTGGAATTGAACCTAGCAAAGGCAACAAAAGTCTTTATAGCTATGTAGATGACAGAAGATAGGCTTGGGAATGTGTGAGCCTGCTGCTGAACAAAGCACAGGACATGGAAAAATGCTGAAATACTGAATGCCCTCTTTGATTCAGACCTCTGTGAAGCCATTACATTTAGAACTGTTAGTCTTCATTTACAATAAATATAAAAGTATAATAAAGGACAGCATAACCTTAACTTGCCTTAAATCTAAACTAGCTCAGGGCATGAGTCAGATGAACTAGTGACCCGTGTTCCACTTGCCTGCCCAAACATCCATCAAGTAAGATTAAACGTATCTAAGTAAAAGAAATCATTTGATACACCAAAGAAGGATCAACACAATGCCATCTGGAATTACTCTTCCAAGCTGAAAATAAGAACAGAAATTACTCATCCTCCATAATGGTTTGGCTACTTTGCATCTGCTGGTGGGGGATACCCTGCTACAGTATGCCTTAGCCTCATGTTACTTATCTCTTTCATTTCTTGGAGTGAGTGATAAAGCAGGGCATCATACAGAAGGAAAGCTGGAGAGAATGAGTTCAGGAAGGAAACGGCACACCTCACCTGCAGTTCCAAACAGTTTATAACTAGCACATCTCAAATGTAGGACTAAAATGCCAATAATTTTTAAAGTATATAGTTTTCGACAACAGTGAATGTCAACAGCATCACACTTCTGTAGTACATAAGCACATGTCAGACCAGAGGCCACTGGGGAGACACAGAGGGTGGATCATGTATGGTTTCATTTCCATTGCATTCCTACAGCAGCCAAGTACTCTCACCAAGGTGTTCAGCAGGGCTGTGCTCTTATGCTGCAACAGATTTAGTGGAGATTTAAGTTTTCCCCAGCTTCCCCCACTACTACTCACCTGACCTACAAGTAGCCTTCATAAGCTCCCTGCAGGCAATATAATTGAATCCAGCTCCACTCCTGAGCACCCACAAAGAATGTGCATTAATGCTTCAGCCCCACCCTCAGGCAGAAATTACTCAATCATGAGGCTACATCAGAACCTCTGAGAATGAGGGTGTAAGGATAAGAAACTCCACTATCTGTAATTAGTGGAAACTTACTGGAGTTATACATGAAGAAGGGAACACTCAGATCCCATGTCTGACAAATCTACTTGGAAAGAAGACTCTAATCCATAAGAAAACTCTCTCCAGGCAAGTAACCCATCCTTTAAGCACAAAGTAGAGTGAAATGCTCTCCATATTCATATGCATCTTTTCAAGTAATATCATCTCATCCTTCCCTACTTACTGCTATCCAGCAGGGAAAGTGAGCCACACATTGCCATGCTGGTACAATGGAAACAATTACAGCAGATCCTACAGAGGGAAAACAAAGACCACAATGGGGCATTACCTTTTCTTTCACTGCTACAGAGAAGCATAACAAAGAACTCTTTTCAAACAATCCTGACATTACTTAGTGTTAATTACCCATCTACGGATTTCTTCTCTAAAGTGGCTATGCTGGAAATGCAGCAACAACGAACCCAAGAGCTTTGTATTCAGGAAAAACATTGCATGGCATTGCATGCACCTCCATCAACTCTAGAGCTGAGCTAAATATGACCCAGCAACATTAACAAAACTCTCATATTAAACAGTAAAATAATCCCTCACTAATCAGATGTTATGTTCTTGCTCAATTTCTACTTATAAAGGAGTAAAACTACAGTTAATGGACTGTAGTCTATCTCCAATGCTGATGCTAAAAGCCTGACCATTCCTGGATTTCTGTACTTTCTACCACCTCCAGTGCTGTGCTTGTCTGCATGACTTTCAAGTTTCTTGTCCTCTTCTTAAAGGCTTTAATTGTTTAGTCTTCTACTCAACTGCCTTTGTCTTAACATCCTAATCTTCCTACTGTACTTCTCCCACAGACATACTTCTGTCCCCTTTTATTCTACTTATCTTAAGGTGAGCATATACACAGAACTTATTTGCAAAGCCACAAAGTACCTTCTATTTCAAATGCTCAGACCTGACTTAATTGCAGAACCCTGTCAAATACAACCCTGCTACAGATTTATACATGCAGGCACAAAGAATTTTGGCTCTTGCAGTTTACAATATTATTGTAATTAGTAATTATCACAAAAGTCTGGATGTCCAAGATTGTTGGCTAAAAATGGTTATTAACATGTAAATTCTGTGACTAAATGTATCTGGACTGCTGTGATTCTTTTACAGACCTGAAGCAACTAGGAAAAAAAAAAGTTCTTACAAAAAAGAGTGCCAGCACAGGAATCTGCTGAGTTGCACAGGCTGCAAAAGTCCAATTTCTAAAATTTATTCCTTCTGAAATTGAACATAAATTGACCTAACAATCCTAAATTCTTCATCCCAACTCACTGGCTTTTAAGAAACAGCTCCTTCAGTTTGTAACAAAGGCATGTGTGTACTCCCTATCCTTTCAAGTTGGGCATCTGCAAAACAGGTAACATCAGATCACTCCTCCTGATACATACACAAACATCAATTAGCTAAAAGGCATTATATGACCATATTCAGGTCAAAGTAACAACACCCTACAAAGCACAAAGAACTTACTTAAAATGTGGAAATTGCACAAAATTTAAGTAAAAGAGGTAGGGCTTCATTTCAGATGGTAAGAACATCTGGCATTTCCATTTCCCTTTTGTTGAAACATAGGTCCACAAATGCTGATTAGATGTCTACCTAGACTGTAAAGAAGTCAAGAGAAATAACTCTTGCACACAAGGCAAGTTAAGAGACCAGGTGGAAGGCAGTTTTTGAAAGGATGGATATCTGTGTGAACCTAGAACTAAGTAGTTAAAACACACAAAAATTGTGAGTGTTGTCTCCAAAAACATGTAGACACAGCTGCAAATTTAACTAGAGACTTAATTTGCTCTTGATCATTTCAAACATGTGCAGGAATTTGATCAAACATGAAGAAAAAGTACTTGAAAAGAAAATGCCTAAGAAAATGTACTGGAGGTGATCAGTACAGATGTGTTCTCACCATAATCCTAGAAAATCACAAACACAAATAAATGCAGAAGCAAAATGAAAAATGCATTCACCAGCTGCTATCCAATGCTAAGTTTTGAAATAACTATTCCTTATTTCTGCCCTTACATATATAAACTTGGTATTCTAGATTCAGCTTGACAGGATTTCTCACTTGAATGCTTATGATTTACAATGTATTTGCCTTTTAATTTACTGGAACTGCAGCTTTATCTTGGGGGATTTAAATAAAGCTGTTTCCATATGTTTTGAGCTGTAAGCTTGAGACCACGGATTTGGAACTGTACAATGTTCTGCTATTGGGCAGACTGGCATAAATCCCATGTGTGGTGTATATTCACATAATACCTCCAGAGTTCTTCAGCTGGACACCTCCTATGAGTCAAGTGAGCATGCTGTTTTCCAACATTATGGAGACTAGAGTCGACATTCAAGAGGTGAAGGACAGGTCAGCATTTTGTCCTCAGTAGTTCACAGTAAGTTTGTGTTAAATCTTACTCATTTTACTCAATCATGAGTCAGTGTCTCACATTACTCTCAAAACAGAAGGGATGAACAATTTTAATGCTTCTACTTTTTCAGCAAAGACACAACTGGTTAGGAACTGGTAAGGACATACAGACTAAGCCAAATCTCACCCACTGCCTGACATACATACCCAGTTCCTGTCTCACGCCATGCAGCAGCAAGCCTGCATGTCACAGAGGTGCAAAGACTGTGCCTTTCCCCCACTCTCTAAACCTGCCTGCCTGGCTTTGTGAATTACAGATCTAGGAAAAGGTTTCCACAGGGTCCTGTTGTTAGAGATACGATCCATATGGAGGTTCCACACTACCCTCTCCTCTTTCTGAGAAAGGAGGTATCTCTGCTTTGCAGTCACATAGGTCTCAACTCAGGAAAACAGAAATTTGAGAGGTCTGAGTGCAGGATTAGATAAAGTTCACAGTGACTCATGAGTGAAATACTAGCCCTAGTGACATCAACAGAAAAGCTCTCACTGACTTGAGGGTCAAGATTTCACCCATATCCCAAACTAAAGTGTTTTTTAAGCTGATGAAATTTGGGCCCTGATCCTGTAGGCTATGTACACACCTTTCATTTCACATATTGAGCATCTCAAATTTTATCAAGCGATTAACATAAAATAAAATAAGTGAGTAAGTTTTAATGAGATCTCATCTCTAATTTTAAGTACAACCTTAAGGTTTTACAGTATAGTGAAAGGATTCAAACAGCACAAAAGCAACTCCAAGGATGCTTGCTTTGGTTCTTTTTACTTACTTTTGTCTGATCATCAGCCTTAAATACATAGCAGATACTTTGCTGATTTGCTGCTTCATCCTTTATCAGACAAGCAAAGTAGCTTGGATCGTGGCTATTGTGAATCAGTTTGTGGACCTGCTGTGGCTTGTATTCAAATAAACTTGAACAAATTAAAGGATCCCACTGCTGGGTTTCCCCTGTGTCTGGCTCACATCGCAAACTGGCTGGTGAAACACAAAGTCGAATTTGGCTGACGCTGGGTTCTTCTTTGGAAGACTTTGCACTGAGCAACTGGATCTCGGCCACAATCCAAGGCAGCATTGACATAGTGGTTAGGGAATGCACTGGGAGAGAACCCACGAGCTGGAGACTGAAACTTGCTGAGAAATCACTAGGTGTTTGACACTTTTTAACTTTGAAAGTTATTGGCTCCATTTTACAGTCCTTTAGGGAACCTGAACTAATTAACCGATATTTCAGCGCCGTGGAATGACATTATCTGGATGCTGGATGGCTCCTTTGATTAAGGAACAGAAGAGCTCTGAAAGAAAAAGAAAGAGTTATGTAGGTGCTTAAACTCTATGAAAAACCAACTCTCATTAACACAAATAATTAATAGCTTAGTATCAGAAGAGAGCTACCATGGCCCCTGTAGCAAGTTCCCCCTCTTTACACTGGGTCTTACTATTTCAGGTCCAACAAACATAATTGTAATAAATACATCGTTTGGAAAAGAGTTACTCTTGATTTAAAATTTGTTTTATGACCATAGCTCAACTATATCATGAGTAACTAAATTACAATGAACATTTTTTCTAGCTCTTGTCTGTTTCATGGGTAGGCACATGTAGATCATATGGGCCTATTTCAATCCTGTTATCACAGGAAGAACTCAGCTGAGCTATTCTGACCTTCATGACAGTTGAAGTCACTGCCTGCTAAGGCACCTTTACATCTGAGGAAGAAAAAAAAGTTAGCTTGACAACTTTCTTGTCCATAGGTGGATGACTTTTAATCTGGCTACTAACATAGAGTTGTTTCCTTAGGTATAGTTTGACAGTAATTATTGGTTGTAACCAAACAGATTTTTTCAATAAATAACACCCTAGAAATTATTGTCATATAAAAATGCTAGCAGCAGAGTGATCGCTGAAAATCCTGTCAGGTAGCAGCCACAAGCAACAATCCTTACAGCATTCTGGGAAGAACCAGATGATGATTGCAATTCATGGTTGCATTTTAACACTGGTCAGCCAGACAGAAATCGTTAAATGTTAACCAGACTGACATTGTATCATTTGTATTTCTTAAAATACCAAATGGAATATACCAAGTTACTCACAACCCTTTTGTAACCCTGTTATACCCAGCATCTGCTACCACTACTGTTATGTATTAGTAGTTTTAGTAATGAAATCCAATAATTGCATTTCTTTATGAATTCAATTTCACAAAATGGAGTCCATGAAAACACTTAGATTGGCATTTGTTATACTATCCTGTTTTAACTCCTCTTTAATTGCCCGTAGTTTCAGCTGTTACATTACATTGTGTGAGACTGATGCCAGGCTGACAGGCCTATAATTGCCTGTGTTTAAATACCAGGACACTAGTTTACCATCAGTCCTATGAGAGTTTCCCATGATAAAACCTATTAAAAACAACATAAATAGTACCAAGATATCCTTAAGTAACATTTTAATTACATTTGGACAAGTTTTGAATAAGTGCCATCTCTTTACTGTAATAACAGTATTTCTTGTCTTTGTTCATCTATCAATATGATCAAAACCAGCACTATTTTTCTCATGAGTTTCCATTGAACTTCATCCTTCTTTTACTCTTGTAATAATATTTTCAGAATGAGTTTCTAACAGTCTTTCACCTTGTTGAAAATGAAAGGAAATTTCAGGGTTAAAAAAGCCCCAAAAATTTCAGGATTTAAATTAATTTTGAGCTGTTTAAAATGCAACCAATCTGTAAATGTCCCAGTGGGAAACAATGTTTCTGCAGTAACTGGCAAACTGTAAAAACAAGAGAACTTCATAAATCATCTTTAAGCACATTTACTTCTTTGAAATTTTAATCTTTTGACAAATGAACACAGTGGCAGCACTGCCAGTTCCATGAATAGCAAATTTAGCAAGAGTGCAAGTTTTCAAGATACTATTCAATGAATTCACAATAAATAACATTCTAGATGCATAGATCAATTTTTTAAAAATCTCTTCATAAACATCTGTGTGTGTATCTGGGCATGGGAGGTATGGGAAAAAGGGCCATAAAAATCCAGAATTTGTACACCTCATTTTAAATGTACTACAACTGGGAGGGTTTATTTTGTTTATTTCACAAATGAGCAAGAAAATAAGCATCTTTAAGATTAATATAAATGCATGACATCCTAAATGAAATGGCATTAAGCTGTAGCAGCGGTGGTTCTGGTTGGACATCTGGAAGAATTTCTTCAAGGGTGGTAAAGGAAAGGGTGGTAAGGATTGGGAGAGGCTGCCCAGGGATGTGGTGGAGTCACTGTCCCTGGAAGCGTTCAAGAAATAACTGAATGTGGTACTTGGTGCTATGATCTAATCCACATGGTGGTGTTAAGTCATATACTGAACATGATGATCTTAGAGATCTTTTCCAATATCAACGATTCTGTGGTTCTAAATAGGACAGTGGCTTCAGGAGGCACTTTTACACCTTATCAACACAGACTATTAAACACTTTTAGTTTTCCTTCAGCCAAGAATCAAAATGGTCTCTTCTTTCACAAACTATTACAAGTTTTTTCTCCTTAACTACAATGAAAAATAGTTCAGCAACTCCGGGGAAGATTGGATTAATTAATAACTACCATGATGTGTAGTCTAAACTACATAAAAATCAAGGTTTTAGCTTTTAGTGCTCTTGTCACTTAGTGGCATTGATAATAATCTCAGGATAAGAAAGCCTCAGAAAACTGCATTCTTAGTTGAAAACAAGTGAATGAAGCTACCATACAGACTATGATGTATTAGCCACATACTTTTTGTAGCCAATTTCTTATTTGTGTTTTCTGAGAACCATTCTTAAAAAAACGTAATTAAAGGCATGTAGAAATACAACAGTCGCCCTTGTTTCTATCAATGTTCTGAATTTATTTTTGATTACCACCATCTACCATGTTCTTCTACCCTAGATCTACCAGGCAATGCAGACTCAAAGAGAAAATGGATATCACAATTATTTTGCATACTAACTCTAAGGACTGAACAGTATATAAAAAACCCAAAGTTGCTACTCTGTAATACTTGAACAAACATTGTACTGCTGGAATGTATTTAATATAAATGTGATGCTTCTTGGCATTCTTTTGGCATCATTTTTTTAAAAAAATAAACACCTTGCAAAATCAACAGTATAAATACTCCAATGTCTGCATTTGTTATTTCCAAAGAAAAACACTACTAAATTAAACCAGTTAAATAGAAGTTAAAATGTTAGGATTTTCCCTTAATGTTTAGGAGAGGCTAAAAGTGCAGTTTCTCAGAGCACAAATTTAGCAGCATCGTAAAGTCTCCTTATCTAAGCCATATCATTCTTTATGTTACTGCTCTGCATGTTCCATTTCCCTTTCCCAGCCATTCTTTCTTTGTTTTCCCCTCCTGTCACTTACTGTAAACAAATCCCACCAGAAATTATGCCAATTTCAAGCTACTGGTGTTAATTTCCTTCAAGTTTCCACCAAGGACTAGGTTTTACTTCAAGACCATGGAGTATTTATTATATGCTTAATTTAGACCTAAAAATAGTTTTGTTCTTCTCAACAGGCCTATTCCCAGCCATAAATTTAAGCACACATTACAGCCAAAGAGTAGCCATGCTCTCAGCCCATCTATGTCTGCCCTGACCCCACTGCTTAGACTTTTAGTACCTTTACCCATCTCTGGTTGCCACCTTTCAGTTCATCCCTCTGAAATTTGGCTCTGCAGGTGCCATGGGAGTTTACCATACACATTAGTACAGAAGGCTCAAACAAGTTTCCTCTTTCTCCCAAGTGTCTGATTAACTCATGCTTATTAAATGTTTATTTCACCTCTAATCTAAGAGGAAATAGAAAAGATACAAAAATACAGCTGTCCACTAGTTTCCTTCTACCTCAACTTTGATGTTCCTTTGGCAGCTCTAAGCGCCATTCAGCTTCATTACTCTGGGCTTGCTTAGTACACTGGGTGTCACCAGTTGTTCTCCCAGTGCTCACAGACATAACTGGGACAGTTCCTCTCTCTCCTCTCCACCAGCATCTTTTGAAGGGTGTTGGTTGCCCTTGCACTCAAAACTGAGAACAGCTTGAGTGGCACTCCTCAGCTGACAGCTTTGCTACTAAGATACAGTTTATAGAGAATATGAATCTTACTGTTCTTACTGTTTAGCCTGCTTTGATTCAGCTGTATTTGCTCCATCAGCATAAAAACAGCCAGTTGAATTGTAACGCATAAGATATTTACACAAACCACATTAATATATCTATCCCTGACTTCTGTACTAGGGAACACCAGACTGACTCATTAATGTGGAAGATATGCATGAGAACATATGTGTGCCCTTTCTCCTCAGCTTCTCTTTTGCTCTGATCAATGCAGCCACTTCTCACAAGTGGGGAGCAGGCTTAGAAAGCATGCAACACTACCCTGATGGTCCTGTTCTAGCAAAATCTAATATTGTGGTTTTTAAAACCCTAACCTAATTTAAATATATATATATATTCGTCTCTTGCTCTCTAAAATCAAGTTACATTCTCACTGTGTTATGCCACCAAGTTAAAATGGATCCCTTCAGAAGTCAGGGTGATGGTAAGACAGCATGAAAGGGAGAGCTACACAAATTATTATTTCTGCCATTCTGGACCCCATGTGAAGGTACATGTCTAAGCAGCATTGTGTCATGCAGTACATTACACAAAATGCACGCTCTCTCAAGAGAGCAAAGACTATATCACAAGGGCAAGGGATTGGCTCCAGGTACCAGTAGGTTAGATGGGGTCAGGTAAGCTTTTAGGAAGGTGAATCTTGTGAGGTTATTGTGTTAGTAACCTGGGAAGATGAGGCACTGAAAATCAGGTTTGTGCACCTGGAGGAACACCAGGCTCTGGGATAGACTCCAACTGACACAGAAAAAAGATATTGAGAGGAGAGAGAATGTTCTAAACCAAAAAAACACCCCACCCCCCAAAAAAAACAAAAGCCAGAAACTTTGACAGTGGTGAAGTGTTATCCTTGTTTTGTCCTTTCTTCTCAACCAGACTAAATTCAATAGAGACATGCAGCCAAAAGTTTTAAACTATTGTTCAGCACATTGGTAACTGTAGACTTAAGCTACCCTTCACTCTCCTCCAGTTCCTTTCCTGCTTTGGTAGCAGTTGGAGTGCTGGGACTCACAGCAGAGCTCACGAGCTTGGAAGATGCGTCACACAAAGAAGCAGTCGGGGCTTTCACACAGCAATGAATAAATGAGGGGTTTGACCTGGGAGTTGAACAGCAAGATGCCATCTTCCTCGACCTTTGCAGTTCTGAGAGACATCTCTGTGCAGTTACTCCACATCAGGCTTGGGACATGACAACACCTTTAGTTTATGTAAGTGTCTGCAAGTCAGTTTTCCTCCCCTTCAAGAAACTAAGCAAAAAAAGCAACCATAAAGCAAGCTCTTATGAAAAACAGCTGGTCTCAAATAGCACAAATTTGTTCAGCTCTTCTCTGCATGGCATTAGCACTGAACCCTGTTGACAAATGGAACCAGAGGCACTGGTACTGACTGCACTTCACCACTGATTATTTTAGCAGAAATATCATACTACTTAAGGATTATGAGGAACCCTGGCCTGCAACCAGAATTCTGGAACACTAGCCAGAACTAAATACCACTTGTCTCCCTCTCTTTCTGATCCCTAACTGAAATTTACATTGTCTTTGCTCAAGCTGACAGATTTCTATATCCACCTGGCAGGATATATAGAAAAACACAAATGAGAATATATATTAAGTATGTCATGACATGGTCACTGCTGAGAACAGTGTTCAAAAATTGTTTTTATTAAATTCAAATGGACACTTGGAAGCACAACACACCCCTCTTGTTGCAAGGATATTCTTTTTATCTTATAGCTAATTATCTGCTGTTTGCCTCTGAAGCTATGGTTTGCTGTGGCCAAAAGCATGCACAAGTCCAGAAACCAATTTGCCTCAGAAATTAGTTTAAATTTCCATTATTTTTTCATTAAATGCTGACTTTAAAAGACTTAATGCTTAAATGCTGTTAGCAACTCCAGACTGGGTGCTGAATAACATAAACATATACTGATTCCAGTAATAAACACACCTAAAATATTTACCAGTACAGCCAGCATTTATATCACACCTCAAGTTTTATAAATACGCTATTAATAAAAAATTGAAACAAAATGGTAGTATGTTCTTGATTACAAATATACATATTTATAATCAACTATTAAATGAAGAAAATAGCTGACAGCTCCTGCCCTTAACACCTGTTGGTACTTCCTTAATCAAGTCCATGGAAATCAGTATGCTGATGATTGAAGTCTTCTGGCTCAGCCTCATACAGACCTGAACAAAATATTGAGCTGTTCTACGAATATAATGCACTAAAAAAAAAAAACAAAAAAAAAAACAAAAAAACAACTTTGTAAAAGAAAGCTTGCTAGGTAAATTATATTATGAATACCATTCATTTTTATTGAATTGCATATCCACAGCCAAAATGCCTGCATTCAACTTTGCAGTTAACCAAATTAAAGTGAGAAAAGTGTCAAGTCATCCACATATCACTGAATGTGTTTCCTTCCATCCTGTCATTTATCTCACCTGCAAACATTGCTACTTTTGCGTATCACCTATGATTTTCAGCGTTCCTATATAACCCGTGACAAATTTCTATTTCAGCACTTACAAGTGTTAAAAGTATAGTCATATGCATCAGCCCAGAGGTACTCGCTATTCAGAAAATGCGTAATTTATTAATTTTGACCTACAACGTTCCATTCAATCTCTGGGCTTAACGCAGACACAAATCTCCCCATCTGCACTATTAAAGGTTCCTGCAGCAGATCTGCTATGCTAGCCTCTCTCCCAAATAAAACACAGCACACAAAGGCCTCAATCTTTTCAAACTGCGCTATAAATAACCACATTCGTTTCATACCTCTCGTGAACGCAGTTTCGAGAGCTCATTCCCTTGTTGACTTGGCGAATTTAAAGGGCCATAGGAACACTGCGCCGCCGTGGGCACACGGAAAGTTACAATTCGGCTGTGCCGCGGCAGGAAAGATCCCTTCTCCCCGGGGAAGAGCGCTCGGCTGCTCCGAGCGGGGTCTGGGAGGAGTTGCACCCACCTATTTTGCATAGATGGGCGAGGAAACGGCAGAGAAGCGAGAAAAAGGACTTGAGGCACTTCGGGTCGCCGACAGATTAAAATGCAAGCAGGTCTTTCGGTTATTCTGACAAGGAGCCAACTCTGCCAGAACAGCGGCACCGGCGCCCCCGTCCCCGGTCCCGCGGCCGGAGCCGCGCCTTCGGCGGGAGCGCCGTGAGGAGCGGCGCGGGACCGCCGGCAGCGCGCGGCCCGGCCCCGCCCGCCGGCGCCGGAGCCCGCTGCCCCTCGCAGCGCGGGTGCGGCCACGGGCCGCCCGCGGCGGGTGCCGCTCTTCTCCCCACACCTCTTCACTTCCTCTGCGCCGAGAGCTGCTCTTCCTCCTTCCCCCACCCTCCCGAAACGCTGCTCGGCCCCGCCGGCGCCGCTCCCACAGTGGGGCACGGCGGGTGCCACCGCCGCCCCCCGACAGGCCTGGGGCTGGGGGTGCCGGGCGCCGCTTACCGCCGCAGGATGTGCTCGCCGCAGGGAAGTGTCCTGGGCGGGCAGCGGCCGCGGGCACCTCCCGCGCGGGGAGGCGGGCGGGGCCGGTAACGGGCGCCGGGCCGGGCCGGGCTGGGCCAGGGGATGCCCGCCTGCCCCTGCCCGCCGCCTCCTTGTGCTGCCCGCCTGCCCCTGCCCGCCGCCTCCTTGTGCTGCCCGCCCGCCCCTGCCCGCCGCCTCCTTGTGCTGCCCGCCCGCCCCTGCCCGCCGCCTCCTTGTGCTGCCCGCCCGCCCCTGCCCGCCGCCTCCCGCTCTGCCCGCCGCCCCGCCCGCCCCTACCTGCCGGCGGACGGGACGAGGAGGGAGCCGCGCCGCACGCCCGGCTGGGCCGCTCGCCAGCGAGGGCGAATATAGCAACAGCCGGAGGGTCCCAGCCCCGCGGGGGGAGCGGATGGCACGGGCGCCCGGCAGAGACGGCGGGCGGCTGAAGCCTCCTCTCCTCGCCCGTGAAGTTCCTCTCGAAGAGCATTTCGGCGACGCTGCCCTGTGTGTCTAGCACAGCCTCTGCTCTCCGCGGAAAACGTGTCGTTGTCGCCTTGCGGTAGTGAGCCTGGGCGGATGGCGGGGTCAGCTGAAGCGGCGAGCGAAGCTTTCTCACAACGCTGGAGCGAACCCGGCTGGCGAGCTCTGGAGTCCCCGCTCGGCTGTGGGCCCAACCCTGGACGCAGGGCAGCCTTTTGGGAGTTTACCTGAGTTACCTCGACGGCTTCCTCAAAGAAACCACACTTGCATATGCATAAAATCATTGTAAGAGTAGGTATCAGTTGGTCTTCAGTTGCCAATGGATCCGGAGACTTAATTATACTTCTCTGCAAGTGGAGAAGATTAAGGCATCCTATATCCCCGTTGTGCAAACCACTAATGCACTCAATTAATTTTCAATTTCAACTGCTATTTCTTGGCAGTAAGACCACTGATTTTCTTACTTTTAATCCTGCGCACATTAAGTCAAGCAGTTAAATGCAAGCACAATATTGCCCCCGATTATGAAAAACAAGTCCGATTTTGGTACCCAAGCACATCCCCTACTTGTAAAGTGTAAATACACATGTAGATACAAAGTCCATTGTGTCTTCATGACCTTTGGCATCAAGGTGTACTTCCTGGTACAGTAAATTACCACTTTGCTGATATGTGAATTCAGATATGTAAGTTCATCCGAAGAGCTTGTTCCCAGTCTGTGCCCAGGTCATGGTTAGCTGCTTCCACTTCAGACATGGGAATTGGTACGAGTGCCCCTTGCTTTTCAGTGACATCTTTACAGTCCTTGGAAAGAGGAATGCCATTTCCTTGCGATCAGTGCCTGTCTTAGTTTTTAAAACATCACAGCTAAGGACAATGCTCTTACTCCAGTTATTACCCAATATCAGTACCTGAGTCAATGCCTTTTTGCTCATTTTGAGCCTGTCTGAGCATTATATGCCTCTGGTTGCCATGCTTTAGCAGAAGGTGAACTGCAGTTCCCATCCAGACAGCTCCAGCATGGCCGCGGAGGCTCATGCATTCCCAAATTATCAGCCAATGATCTTAGGAAGACTTTATTTACTGCTTCACTGTTGCCTTTCAAAAAAATGTTATGAAACAGAGAAGGACCCTACAAGACTATTTCTTGCTTTCTGGAAAATCCTTGAACAACAACAGAAGTCAATACTAGAGCATCACAATTAGAAATACTTTCTTCTTTCTCATCTTTGATACTGGGAAGGAAATGAGCCTCAGAATGTTCAGCCTGCCTGCAATGAATGTTACCTAATCGTCACCTTTCAGGCTACTTTGGACAGCATTCATTCTCTGCTTCCTGATGAAACTGTGACTTACATAGGGGCAATAAAAAAGAACCACAATGAGGGTTTTATGTTCCAGTTCCTAAAAATTAAGCACTTTTATGTTTTCCAGGGACTGGGATCCCAGTATTGATGTGAAAGCTATGGGCACCAGACTTTCTAATAATTTTCTATTTTCTGAAAGAGTAGATCTCTGTTCTTTTTTCCTTCACAGGTTAGACTTTTCTTTACAGTAACCTATTAACTAAAGCATATACCATTGCATTAACTTCCTCAGACTGAGGAGGAAAATCAAACTGTACTTTCCACATTATGCATACATGATGTAGAAATAGCAGCAGTTTAACCATTTTCTCTTTGCCCAATCACATTCTTAAAAAAAAAAAAAAAATGCAAGGAAAACCTCACCACTGCCTTTTGTACAGAACCTGAATATACAGGCTTGTATGAAGAGCTCTGTGAGAACATGTGGGTAATGAAGCTTCTTTTGTAAATAAGGACCAGAAGTATCTACTCACTTGGTCCCAGTTGGGGTAGGACTGTAGATCAATATAAATTTAGGCTGAATGTGCCAGGCCATGAGTGAGGGCAGAACTTGGTGCTGTACACTTTGAAGTACCACAAGGCAAACAGGAAGTTTCCACCCAAGATGCTTTCAGAGTTCAAGTTGCTCCACAGCTGGGCAGCAGCTGAGCAGTAATGTTTTTGGATTGTGAATTTGAATGCAGGCACCTATATTGAGTTTCAGTTGCCTTATAAGCTTCTGTGCTTTTCCCTCTATGTCACCTATAATGATGATTTTCTATTATTATACAAAACAGTCTTTTTTTGTGACTTCTGTCATGTTATTAAGGGATGTTACTGTTTTGCTGTGCTTTGACTTAGGGAGCTCTGGATGAAGTACTACATTCTTATCCAATGACATTGTATCTCCAGATGCTATTTATATATAACCTCAATTCATAAACAAAATTAGCATCACTGTTATTATAGCACATTTACCTACTGCATATGCTGTAGGACTACATACCAGTGACATTAATTACTGATTATCTTTGTAGAAAAGAGGCTTTCCATTATCACTGATGAGTAGTCAAGGAGTTGAGCTACTGTTACAGATCCTGCCTGCTGCTGTCTCTGTATTTTTGAGCATTTCAGATGTCATGATTAATCCTCTCTTTCATTCCCATACATATTTTTGAAAATGACTTACCAGTGTTTATTGTATTTTAAATTTGTCCTTTTTGTTTGGAAGCTGCTCTTTCTATGCAATCATCTATATTAGAGTTCATTTAGGTGGGTGTTAGTATATAATTGGAGAGTGTCTCGTCCCATTACTCATAATGTTCTGATGGTGCATGACCTCATTTCGGTTACCTGGCAATTGCTATACAGCAGAGTGATGTTGGCTTCTACTTGGAAGCTGATCAGAAATACTAACACCATGATGAATGTATATCTTATATACATAAAAAATGTACTGGAGAGGAAAGCAATTCAGGTTAATTACTTTTGATTAGTTTTGTATTTAGAGGCAGGAAACTTTTACTGGTGATTCTTTTTATTTACAACAAATTAGATATACATATGGCATCCAGATTCCTTCAGCATCAGGATCTTAAAAATCCCCAAACTTCTTAATACTTGTGCTGGTGGTTAGCAACTGTTACTTTAGTATCATTTTAATGTTGCTATTCACAGTGATTGTTAATCAAGGACATAAGATTTGCTTGTTGGTGGTGTGTGGAAATAAAACCCATGACCACTGCAATTTTGAGAATGATTAGCAAGGAGAAAAACTTTATTTACAGAAACTTTGTAGGTGAACAATTTAAATATTTAAGCACACATTGTACAAAATGAAAAATGTTTACATAATAAATCTTTTAGTATTAATTCCAGTTATCCTTGATGATTTGTATATAGCAAAATTATCAAATAAATCCTTCTGCAAATCAATACTTGACTGTCATAACAATACTTTTACACAATATGCCATGGACTAAGTTCAGATTACTTAGCTGAAATGTATTTTCACTTCCTTCCAGCCAAACTGTTTCAATCCATCCCTGAATTTTAATTTATTCAGTAAATTTTACGATACTGGGACTTGTAAAAAAACTAATAACCTTCAAGTGAAGTCCACTGTTCTACTCCTAAAGCATTACTGGTTTTGGGTTTTATTTTGGCAGAGTTTTGAGTACTACGCTAATTCCTCTCAGTCTTTCGCTCTAGCTCCATAGGCCTGATCCCCTATAGGATCAACGTTTACAACTGTCACTGGAATTGTGTTTCCATCTGTTATAAAAAACAGGCTTATTTTATATGGTTTTGGTAATGTAGGGATGTATCTTTCTCTAGAAACAGCCAAGAATTCCCTTACACCTGAGTTCAGTCTGGCCTGCAAGCACTCTTTATTCCAGTGATGGCAAGTCCCATCTCTGGATAAAATACTAGTGCACCTGCTCCCAGTTCAATGCTGCATTTTTACAAATGACATTTGTCTGTGTTTTAATATCTGTCTTGGGACTAACAATGTCCAAGTAGGCTTCATTATCTTACACAACACTTTAGTGGAAGAATTAGACCAGCTTTGAAAAAACTGTAGCTTAACACCCACTCTGACTTGCAATACTAACTTCTCTCTTTGCTATACTCTTGCTGCCTTTGTTTTGATTCTTTCTTTCAGTTCTAGATCCTCTTTTTCTGATGCAAGACAAGGTTAGTAAAGACTTTAGCAATATCAAGTTTTCTCTTGTAATTTTGTAGTTTTTGTAATTGTTCAAGTAGCTTGATAAACTGACTGCTGTGGGTTTGGCTATTTTTTTTCTTTTTGTCATGCCCCACCCCTGCCGAAGTTGTGAACTTCTGTCTGGAATAGAGAAAGGAATGGAGCAAGTAAATTTCTTGATGTTAGGAAGACAAAATCATAAAGATTAGGTGATCATCCTATGTCTGTACTGCTTCTGAGGATGCCCTAAAGCCTTCCTAAGGATGTTTCAGTATCCGTGAGTGCATTGAAGGTCTCACTTCCAAACATTAGTAAAATCCAAATCCAGGTTTGGCATATAAAGGCACATGTCAAATATGCCTCTCTAGCCTGAGGAGATGTTAAGATAAATACATTTAAAAATTCAGGACCTGTAATCCTCTGTCTTCAGGCCTTCCCCATCAATTAACTAAAGCATCCTTTATCATATTCTGTGCCAAAAGAAACGTGAGCCCTCCCAGTAAAAACTAAAGTAAAAGGAATGATGCAATGGTTTCAGTATGTGATGGTCCCCTTTAAAAATCACCTAGTTCAACTCCCCTGCACGAAGCAGGGACACCTTCCACCAAATTAGATTGCTCAAAGCTTCATCCAATCTGGCCTTAAACACTTTCAGGCATCCAACAGCTTTGCTGGGCAACTTGTTCCCATGTCTCACCTCGTCAGTATAAAAAAAAATATATATATCTTTCCTTGTATCCAATTAAATCTATCCTCTTTCACTTTAAAACTGTTTCCCCTTGTCCTGTCACTACAGTCCCTGGTAAAAAGTGTGTTTCTTATAAGCCCCCTTTTAGAAGGTAAGATCTCACAGCCTCTTCTACAGGCTGAGCAACCCCGGCCCTCTCAGCCTTTTTTTCCCAGCACAGGTATTCTAACCTTCTGTTTTCATGGCCTTCCTCTGGACCTATTCTAACAGCTTCACGTTGTTCTTGTGCTGGGATGCAGTACCCTGAAAGGGGTTTCACTGCTCCAAAAGAGCAGAGTGGAGGGAGAGAATCACCTCCCCAGTAGAAGCCCAAGGCTTGGTCTAGCTCATTAATGCCCAAATTGAAAGCACTGCTCCAGCCTGCCTCCTGAAAAATCATTCCTCTGTCTGTGCCTTCAAGCAAGGAGGAAGCCAGTAAGAAGCAGATCTTTCGTGCTGGGATAATGCTTTTTATCATGCCAATATCCCCCCTTTACATAACTGGCTCAGGATGAAAACTCCCCTCTGGAAAAGTACTGGGACATGGAGGCTTGAAGGTATCCATTCCTTCTGATGGGGCATAATGCACTCAACTAGGCTGACCTGAGAGGTAGCTGTCATGTCTTAGAAGATCCCTGAAGCCCCCCCAGACTAATTTCTGTGGCCTCTCACCACAGGACTGCAGAGTGGTACATCAGACTGTGTAAAACTTCCTCTCCTTCCACTTCCCCTAGGGCTGCTTCCCTGTATCCAGCAATCTTCGAGTTGCTGCAATCTTCAAGTTACACTGAAAATAACAAGCACAGAGGACTTGAATTCTGGGAGGATAATCAAGTTTAGAAGTTTTGCATTTATAAGAAGTATGTAGCTATGGTTGTGACTATTATTGCTACATTGATATCCAATGCAAATACTGAAAATGCAGAAAAGCCCCATATTAAAGTCAATTGGCAACCTCCAAAAAACCCTCTCAGGCTTTGCAAGCACAGATAAGAGCATGCAATTGACGCTGTTGAGGCAGGATGGGAATGAATAGACTTTGTTCAGAAGGCTGAGAGTGTAACACTGATTTATTTCAAAATACATCGCTCTTTTATGCAGAGCTTCATGCAGACCAACCCTACTAGTCCTGAAGTGAAGACAGCTCACACTATTGGTGTGCAGTGAATGACGTACACTAGCAAAACTTCACTATAAACAAGAGAGATAAAGAACTTACTTACATTCTTTCTCAGTACTTTCTCAGGCTTCTGCCTGGTTAGAAATTTTCTGGTTTGTCTTTGACTGAATCTGAGACCTATATGCAATGAAATCAAAACTTCTGCTCTAAAATTAGACATGCACCAAGTCATGGCAGCAAACAGTGTGAGAGGCTCCAAAACTATGGTGTGCATTGAACAAGTTATGCTTAGTTCAGTGAGGCAACAAAAAGGTGCTGCATGTAGATATACTATCTTAATGGGTTGATGGTATTCAAAGACAGTTAAGTACACTTTGTATCCCTAGCCTGGAATATGATATATAATCCCACAAAAAATACATATTCAAAAAAATTGCTGTGAGTTTCTTGTTACTTTGGGCCAAAATCCATGAGAAAGATGACTGCTTCTGAATCATCTGCACCAAGTTTGCCCAAGTCTCACCACAGGCTTTAAATAATTCCTGTTAACAGAAGAACTTACTTTGCAAATCTAATCCCATACAAAGTTACACACTGTTATCAGATTATATGCACACAAAAGAAATAAGTCACCACAAAACAGGCTGTTTCAGATATCAGAATATTACTTAGATTTAATTAAAACAAGTTTTGATTGAACTACATTTGCAGTCAACTTTTAGTTCATGAAACTTTTAGTTCAACTGATTGGGTTTTTTTGGTTCATTAAGGGTAAAGGTACTTTCCTTCCAAAATAAGATAACTAGAGCCAAGAGTATCCAAAATAACTCTTAAAAGTAGAAGTCATTATAGTCAGATGTTTGGTCCTAAAAAACCTTAACTTCTTAAATAATGTACTTCTAATTCTGCAAAAGCCAATCAAGGTAGTAATTTTGCTATTTTACTCAGTCTGTCGTTGAAGTTTGTTTTTTTCTGGTTGAAAGAAGTGTTTTTCAAGAGCATTGACCAATTCATCCAGCTCCTTCTTCAGCTGTTCAACATCACTGGAAAACAAAAATCACACGAACACAGAAAACAGTGAAACAATGGAAAAGCTAAAATGTATAGTTGTAGTATGAGGAATTTTTAAATCTGTTGCGTTGCTTTAGACGAACATTTACTATTAATGCTAAAAGTCTATACATTTGATTTCTTACGGCAATGCACTGATGTTCACTTTCAACTGATCTGCATGAAGACTATGAAGAAACATGACTCCACAATATAATCTAAAGTTGTATGGCCAATTTGAATTCAGAAGATCTTCTCTTACTAAAGGTAAGTGACTACTGCTACAAGTATAAAAATCACAGTTCTATTCTTAGATGACTTTTCATCTGTGAAAAGGTATTACTTTCATTATATAAATTAATAATTATCTTTAAGATTGTATGATTTCCAAGGCCACTGGTTAAAGATATAATTACTAAACATAAAAGGGCCTGAAATATATTAGAACATTTTATATTTGATTGAATAATTTTAAAGCAACTATGCATATAAAAAAGGGGTGAAAATACTTGTATTTATTTAAGGCAGAATGTTTTTCCTGATACTGTTTTCTCTGAATGTAAAAACCAAGTTCAAAGAAATTTCAGTGACAAGAATGTGTCAACAAATTTTGCAGATTTGAAGCTTTATACAAATACATTCACTAAAATGACTTTAGTAATATTATTTGACCGTGGAGAGCTCTTATTTCTCTAAAACAATGCCAAAAAGCCACACAGATTCTGTTACAGAAAATGTACTGCTGTATGTGACAATACCTGTTTCCAGGAGGTGCACAAAGTTCAGAATAGTATTTGATCTTTGGTTCTGTCCCACTGGTTCTCATTGTGGCCACTCCTCCGTTAGCAAAAGTGAATGTTATCATTTGACTGCTTTTACTAGTAGGAAGTATCTAGAAATATTAAGAATATATTTTTTTAAAAACTTGGAAGAGACGATATATAAACCCATGACTTGATGTTGGATAGTATGACAAAAGCATCAGCTACAATTATAGTTTAGTTATTTTCTTCAACATTGTGGTCTTGAGACTACAAGGACAGCCTTGCCCCCTCAGCCTGGAATCTGGTAGAACTGCATCACTGCTAGGTAGCTCATTTCAAATCTAGGCAATTTTTTACTGCTAATGAAGTTGAGCTGTCATGGCATCTCCCAGGGGAAAAGGAATGGAGAATGTGGAAAAACATAGAATCCAAAGCCACATCTTAATAGACAGTTTAATTTGCACTCACAAGAAAACAATGCAGATTGCTGTAGCAAGGCAGCAAGATCCTCCTACTGCTCTTCACAAAACACACAGAGAAAAACACACCACAAAACCTAACAAAAAACCCACACCCTCTTGGCTTCACTTCCTTTCACCAAGGCAAAATAATCATCACCAATCTAACTTATTTTATGACTCACTATGTAAATATGTTTTGTGTTTCTCCACAGAATGTTTTATTTATGTGCATATACATCACATACGATTTACAAGTAATTTAGAAGGATACTTACAGCCTTTTGATCTGGCTGGCTGCTGTCATACCCAGTAGTTAGATCCCTTATTCCAGAAACTTTAAATCTACCACAAGATTTTGGGTATGTGTTTTTTCCATCAAAATTTCTAAGGTTGTCAAAAAGCTGTTGAATAACTTTAGGATCATGGCAGATGAAATACGAAGCTTTTGTAATATGGAAGCCGTATCTGTGGAGACGCAATATTCGTGAATCCAGGAAGCAATGTTCTAAAAGTTGTACACCAGACACATTATATGACCTTCCAAAAAGCAACACTCTACTCATGCTCACCCAACTGCAGCATCAGTTCTTGCCCCTACGATTTTAAAAGGGTCTATCAGCTTAATTATCCCATTTTACATACTTTAAATAAACTTCTGTGCAGATGCCTTTGATTTTTAATGATGAAAACTGAGAAAGTTTTCAGCAACACCAGAAAAAAAAAGATACCATTATTGCCTTGAAGTGCTCTAACCACCATAGGAAGGGAAGAGATAGCTTGTTTGAGTCGATTTCAGTAAGTAAAACAAATTCAAGATTGGTTTTTCCAATTACACTTCACTGAAGTGTTTCTACTCTCCCATTAAAGTGTTTTTACTAAACTAAACTGTTCTAAACATTGTCTCTCTACCTCACCTGTTTGCTGCCAGGTAACATGATGCAAAGACAAATGACCCAGTAACACTGACTTTTCAAAATAACATGTTGTTGAGAAACATACAAGCCTGGACTGGTTGTTCAAGTGAGCTCTTGCTACAGATCAAGACTTGATAAATATCTTTGATGGCAGTGAAAATCTGAGGGGCAGAATATTCATTAATACTAGGATGTTCACACTAGAAAACTGAATGCCTTCTTAAAATGGGTCATGTTTATACCTAAATGGCTATCTTGAAGGTTAATAGTAGTTGAATTAGCCTTAAGAATTCAGTAAGGGAATTAACAAAACCTATCCTGTATCTGAAAGAAGTGATAAGTCTACTAGCACCATGTCCTTTTCCTGATCTGCATTTATTTGGAGACAGATTCCCCTTCTACATTTTCAAAAACACAGTTTCTTCTGCTTCAACTGTAACTCACAAGGCAAACCTGACAAAAAAGTAAAGTAGTAAGAAGTAGAAAACTGCAACTCTGTATTAGCCACAAACAAAAATCAAATACATACAAAACAATTCCCCAAAACAAAACAAGAACCTTCCAGCTCATTATCAAACTACAGTTTAATAGGGCAGATTTGTATCCTTCCCTCTATCTGTAGCCTTGCCACAAAGAGTGACTATGTGCAGAAACATCTTACAGACTGCTTTTATGCTAAAGCAGCTCTGAGTCCTCTTCAGTGGCCATGTATACAGCAGAACTGTGGCACAGCTCAATTTCACTCAGTCAAATATCCTGAGGTCAATCTGAAGCAGGTGTTTACTGTATTAGTATTAAAAAAAACCCAAGAAAAAAACCGTCAAGCCAGTGGTTGAATATTCAATTCTTGAATATGCACTTCCAGCTAGAAGCATTTAAGGGAATTCTCACATCAGATGCTGTATTTGCTGCTCTAGGCGTGAATTTCTCTTTCATGCTTTTATATCACATAATTTATCCATGCAGTGTAAGCACTGTTTCCTTCCACTTGTTTCCTTCCAAAAGGGGCAACAAAACAAGCATGGCTTGTGCTGCACATAAATGAGAACTCAGGATGGGCAAAACAAGAAGCACAAAGGCTGGAGTTTTTCACAAGTCTCTTTACAGGTTCCACACTCCCTTGTTAGTGTCTATGAAACATGAAGAGCTGGAGAGTATCAAACAGCCTGTGCTGCTCCCTCCTTTAAAACAAACAACCAAAAACCTATACAAAAACCACTCCCTACCTCATGAAATCTAATATTCATCTTCATTCAGCTATTAATTTCTTTGAATCCATTAAAAAAGAACAAAAGAAAAAGTAGTGCCTCATATCAAAAGCTCTCAGAGGGATACCCGACTGTATACAGCCAAGAGTAATGGCCAGTCACAGCACTTCTGCATAATCAGCTCAAATCTCATTAATCAGGAGCAGAAAGAAAAAAGGACAACCAAAACTCAACAACAATCATCTATAAAAAAAAATACAGAATAATACAATAAAAAGCCTAACTTTAGAGCCAACTAGAATTAATCTAATTGTAAGTGGCCCTGCAAGGACAGGAGCAAGCTGGCTTCTATGTATAGCATAAATAACCCAGAGCTACTTAGACCCATTCTGCCATCAACATTTTTGACTATCTGGCTCATTTAAGCAGCAAGAAGCACCATAATCTCTACAGCTCAGCAATACAACTGGCCAAAAACCTGCCCAATCTTCTGTAAAAGGACACAAGTGCGAGACTTCCCAAAAGGAAAAACCCTTTCAGAAAAACAAAATAAAGATCTCATTACTAATAGAGAATAACTAAGGTAGTTACTATTATACTTAAAATACCTTAAAACAACACAAAGCAAAGTCATAAATATATTCTTGTTCACAAGACAGGAACACTTTCTGAATATTACTATTAGCACAGCATTGTCTTAATAGTACAATAATCTACATTTTATTTCTTTATAAACTATAGACTGCTATTGAGTCCCTATTAACCCCACTATGTGAAATTGAGAAAGTCTGAAAAATAAAAAATTAAAATTGAACTCACTCATCATAGACAGCTTTCAGCTGCTGAGACAAAGACAAATTCCTGGTTGCCAAAAAGCTGGCCATCTCTGCAGTTATAACAGCAGCACTGACACCATCTTTATCCAGAACAGCAGGACAGCACATATAACCTAAACAACGAACATTAGATATAATTAGACACACTTGTAACAGGAAATAGGAAGGGAAGGTTAGCCAAACAAGCTAACCTGTTGAAAGGAGAAATGCACATTACCATAGTACAGATATTTTAGAGTCAAACAAAAAGTAGAAAAAAAAATATCTTCTAATCAGTGTTAATTTTAATAAGTAAGGTATTTAATAGAATTTCAAGACAGATTTGCATCATATCAGTGCCACGTTCTCCCAGGTCCTTATGGAGCTTTCTAGATAGAGAAATGCTCCACTGCAGGAACAATGCAAGTATAGCATTGTCTCAAATGTGATTATGTTATACAGTAGTGTAATTATGTGTGAAATTAGCCACATTTTCTCTGGTTTTCAGGTATTGAGATACTTAAATAGCATTACAGCTTTACAATTTCCTCCTCATGAATTCATAACTTTCATTTGTGGCTTTCAATCATGTTCACAAACATAATTTGGGGTAGTTTTTACTTTATTTTAATCTCATTTACACTGGGCTTAAATCTGTCAGGTAAAAAAGCTCAAGTTCATGTCTGAAAAAATGTATTTGTTTCTCTTTTTTTAGAAAAGTTTATGCAGAATTTGCAGTCCAAATCTGCAGAGCCACGCTACTGTACATATATACTCCTAGCTCACAAACTTTGTGCTAAGCAGAGATAGAAAGGTTTTAAAAACTAGTATCAATTAGCAAAATTGATAGTTATGTTACTCATTGGAAATACACCCATTGTATTGAAGACACCCTTACTTGTCATTTTTACTTTTTGTTTTTTACATTTTACTTCATTACACTAACAGAGTACTGGCAAAGGTTGCCCACAGAAATTGTAGAATATCCTTCCCTGGAGATATTGAAGAACCATGTGGGCCCAATCCTGTGTAATATGCACTAGGACACCCTGCTTGAGGAGGAAGATTGGACCAAATGACCTCCAACAGTCCCTTCCAACCTCACCCATTCTATGACTCTGCAATTCTGTCACTTTTTGCAGTAGTTCTATTTTCACTATTTTGCAAGATATGAAAACACAACATTCTCTTACCTATAGCCTCCTCAAATGCAAAAAGAACTGCTTTTCCCTGGTCCATGAGCTGTTTGGCACGGTTGCCCATCCATTTGAAACCTGTCAGTGTTTCCTACAGCAGTGAGGAGAAATCAAAGGCATTAAAAGGAAAAGCAATGTTTTACAAAGACATGACACTGTAGGAAAAATGCTAAAAGTACATTGGATAATGTGTAACATGTTGCTTACCTCAAAGTGAAAACCTTCCTTTAGTGCAATTGCTCTCAGGATTTTGGAAGAAACAGTACTGGATAACATGTAGACATCCTTAATGGCATGAGTATCCCTACTGTTATTCTTCCAGCAAGTGAAGATCCACCAGCCTAAAAGAGCTCCTAGTTCATTTCCAGAAAACACTTTCCATTCACCACTAGAGGCAAAAGAATATTACAAAAAATCAAAGGATAATACCGGGGGTAAAAAAGAACCTATTAGTTCTTCTATAAATTAATATAAATTCTATAAATGAATATTAACAAATAAATCACTGCCTTCAAATTCCACGTAGCAGTAACAAGGTATCATGTGTTCATAATGAACAAACAAAAAAATTCCTCCCCCAAAGTATTCTGAAATGGTTACCTTTCTTTTCTATCATACACATAAGCTTTTGCAGTTATCCAAAGATGAAACAGTGGTATTTCCACCATATTTTAAGTAAAACAAAAATGTTCAGCATACAAATTATAAATTCAGTGATTAAGACAAGCACATAGACACAAAAATACAGTTTTCAAGTGATCAGTATTTTTAGTTGACCTAGTGACAAATACTTTTAATTTAATCACAAATACATCAATTAGTCATTAGGAATACTGGGGAAAAAAATCTTAAATGTGTATAAAATATTAATATGGATATGTTGCTAGAACAGGAAATAAAAAGAAAAAAAGACAAATGTCAAAATTGCCAAAAAAGGGGACAGAGACACCTCCAGACTGCCAAAACCAAGACCTACAGAAACAGTACCTGTTGTGAAAGAGAAGCAGACTCAGTCTCCTGCATTTATTGATGCCAACAGGCACAAAGTAATGCACAGCAGCAACTTAGTGTAAGAGTGCTGAGAGAGTGTACTCTACAGGAGGTTCTGTCAAAGAAGAAGTACAGATACTGTAGAAGCCTATATTAATATTTGATTAGTGTATGAAAAGCTACAGAAGTCTGAGAAGACGCAGGACTGGAAGTTAGGATACAACTAAGACTGGCTAAACAATGAGTGTAGAGGTAGCAGAATGAGAGCACCACTGGTGATGGATGCAATAAACTAACACCCCTCTTCATGTTTCTGGTAGCTCAAAGTTTTCAGACAAAAAGCATGAGTGATTTTGCATTCTTGTTTTAACCCATCGTAATTAGCATATGTTACACCTTTTCCTCAATGCTGCATTATCAACTGATGCTGGCAGAGACCAAAACCATTGAAATACAAACCCTCCAACTAACACTGTCCAAGACACAGCAGAGTGTCCACAAAAGACCATTCTTTTTCCAAAGGCAGAGAAGCCTCCTTAGTTCATGCTGTGATGCAAATGAATTTAAAAGCACCCCAAAATCCCAAAGAAAATACTGCTACTTTTAGAGCTACTACTTTAGCTTTTTTGATTACCTGTTGAGTAAAATGGGTATTTGCACTGTTTCCTTTAACTGGACTTTTGAAATTTGTCTAACTGATACGAATTCAACTATTTAATTCACCCACAACCACTGAGGACACCTAGATGCCCATATCATCCCTTGGGTACGAAAGACTGTTGCCATAATTTTACATCCCTCTTCTGGCTCTCATACACAGGGAATTAATATATGCTGGCCCAGCAGCAGATTTTTTTTCTGCTCCTCTCTAAGCTGAAAACCTTGCAGCTTATTTTTACTGAGGATCTGTAGTTTATAACTGCTCAGATTAGTTTCTGCTTTATCAAGGTAAATAAAAGAGGAACGCCACTATTTGTAGATATGATACCAAGTGCTTGAACTTCAGCTTTCTTTTATTAATCAGAAAAAAACACAATACAGAAATGCAAACAAGTGTAGATGTATAAGATATCAGAGGGCATGAAATAAGGGGACAGCCATATTGAATGAAAACTATAGGTTGCATTTTCACAAATATGAACAATTTATGGTAACCCCTGACTGAGCAAGTTTACCTTTTGTGATCCCCCTCTTTGACTGGGTATGTGAAGATAAATAATGCTCATACAGGTGGTTCTTGAAGGGGAGAGTACAAATAACTACACTGAGAAGTACCAAACTCTGAAAAATTTCCAGGTGAAATGCAAATATGTAATGTTATGTAAAGAAGTGGAAAACTTAGCAAGAGTTGCACAAATCATATAATGATTAGTAAAATATTTGGTTTAACAGGATTTGAGAAAGAAGATACTCATACTAAAGAAAAAGAGATTATCAGGGAACTATACAGATTCTCCTGAATCCAAGTAATTGCTTAATAAATCTAGAATGAAATAATGTTTATCAGTCTTATGCAAAAAAAATCTAACTGAAAACCTACCTTTGAAATGGTATAGCACAATAATAACAATTCACATGCTTCTGTGCCTAAATTAAAGCAAGTGTCAACTATTTATGCAGGCTTCTGTACACTGTTTAATATTGATCATTATTTCATATCCTGCCTCTACTGTGGTCTGCTTCATAGTCTTCCCATATTTTGTTGTGTTTTCAATCCAAATAATTATTACCTTGACTATTCTTCCTCTGCAACACAAGTAGCAAGAATTCTCCAAATGAGCCTACCCTTGGGAGTAAAAAATGTCAGTGGTTTGCATTACTTTATTACCATACCTCTCTTGTTTCTCTGCCACTGCCAGTCGATCAGCATCAGGATCATTTGCTAAAATGATTCTTGCCCCATCTTTTTCAGCCAAAGCAAAAGACAATGTCTGGAAATGTGGCAAGCAGGACCAGATGAGTGTTAATATCCCCAAATAATATTTTCACTTTCTTTATAGGTTTTAAGTAATTTTCCCAATTTATTGAATCTCAAACACCCAAAATCATTGTCTCTCTCAAAAACTCCAAAAACTTCTATCCTGGCAGCAGAAGAACATAGTCAGGACATTTAACTTTACCTACATCATTCCACTTCTGCAGCCCAAATTAAAAGCTACTTATATTTAATGGGATCCTTCAATAATAAAGTGTAACAAAAATAGTAGCAGAAACTCTAACCACCTGTCAGGACTCTCCTGCTCCCTCCTGGTGTTGTGTTAGAACAAAAGAGTAGAAGCCTTCCAAAAACAAATAAGAGTTTTATTATTATTTTATTTTTTTTAAATAACTATCACTTTGTCCCATGTGCAGATCCTGCCCATTCTGTTAGAGCACAGAACAAAGTAGTTGAAAGTTATAGCTAATTACTACCTGACTGGTTCAAAGAGGGTTATGTCAATGAAAGCTAACTCTTCACTAAATGTAAGGCTATGAAACAGATTAAAAGTTGACCTTCCACCAATATGTAGCTGTGACTTCTGGCAAAAAGGAAAACACTGAAAGACATCACAATTATTAAGAAAAAATGAAATATATTTACCAAAACACCTTTGCCTTCTTCAGGATTTGGATACTTCACTGTGGGGAAGTCTGGATCAGGATCTTTCTGCTCCGGAACAGCAAAAGGAGGGCTAAGGTCAAATGCCTTGAACGCCAACTGCACAAATTTATGTCCTACGCCATGCACAGAAGTATGAACAAATTTCAGGTTTGTTTCCTTGTTTATATTCCTGAAATAAAGCATGTTAACAGTAAACTTGGACATGAAAGACTGTACTGCACAAAACTGACTATGTTTGGAAACACATACAACTCAGTATTCTATATTACTGTTAAAATAATGAATTAAAGGAGGTCAGACTTTAAAAGCAATGGCTTGAAAATTGGCTTAGCCTAATTTTTCAACAATAAGAATCACTCTTGGCATCCAGTGTCCTAGTATGTGCAAACCACTGGAGTAAGAAAGACAGTACAGTCTACACATCCCAAAGAAGTCAAGTGAAAAACAAATACAACTGACTAAAGAGACTCTTCATCCCCAACTCTAGCATTTAAACCACCCCTAAAAACTGTGAACACAGTGAGTCAATAGCAGCGTGCCCAATTTGAGCACACTCATTTTTAGGAAGTAAGAAGTGTTGGGCATACGTAAAATCATGCAAACTCCTAAGGAGACATTTAATTCCAATTCTGAAAAACCAGCGCATTAGCCCCAGTTTTTTAGTAACTCCTGACTGTTTTTAGCAAGAGTAAGAACATGGTTCCTGCTGCTTAAAATTTCTACATAAAATAAGCAGATCTAAAAGGTTGATACTCATCTACTACATAAATCAATTTTAACTGTTCACCAGGAGAAACATACACTTCATTTTGCTGAGTAAAGATTTTACTGAGCAAGTGATAGGAGTAGGCTGTCATAAGGCACCCAAGGCTATCAGGAGTACAAGCAAGACTGGAATGACAGAGCAAGAACTTCTTCATCCCCAAGTGGCTTAACAACCTGGTTCACTGTCTCCCTGAGAATTTTGTTTTAAGACTGGTGGGCTGTCCATGCCAGCTCACCTCCAGCAGCCCCAGTCTTGCTGTGACACTTGGCTGATGCATGACCATGAAAATACATGGAGATATCATCAGCAATTTGCTCACTTTGCTGGGTTAGACTTCTGCTAGGAGAGCTTTATGAACTGGCTTACAACACCACCACACAGCTACCAGTGCAACTCCAAAAGATGACAAAAAGGTACAGACAGAACTGGGTCATGGCAGGATTGTGGTCACCTTCAGTTCCATCATTTTAAACTTCCCTGCTAACACACTAGATGGAATATCCTGTATTCTTAAAGGAATTAACACCAGTCACCTGTAAAAGCACTGCTTCTGTATGTCTTTGAAATACTCCTTATTGACCAGGGCATATGGATCATGAAGTAGTGGGCTGCTGTCAATCAGTTTGTCATCCCAAGCCTGAGGCCACGGTTCTTGGTTCTGCTCAATAGCCTGAGAAATTCCTTTGTCATGAGGGGAAATGATCTGAGCACCGTTTTCCCAGTAAACCTAAATAAAAAATAGGTATTTGATTAATCTTGTAAGATAGTTTTGTTATGTTTTTTCTGTTAGTTAAGGTGGAGTAAATTCACTTGAGTATTACAGTTAATTAGGCTTAGGTATACCCAAAGTATTCTGTTCATATTCTCAGTGTTTCTTCTTACATCCCATTTTTATTTTATTTTAAAAAAGCAGTTTAATTCTATCAAAATATATCAAAATATATCAAAATCTATAATGAAACACAAAACAAGGCCAAATCATTTACTGAGGAAACTTCCATTTTTGTATTTTGGAAGCAGTCTGTATATGACTGCCCAGCTACTAAATGACAGGCAATTCAGCTGTGTTTTTTTCAGTGGATAGCAGATTACAATGGCATCCTGTTTTCTAGAGCGAAGATTTTAATTGCATTATTAGTTTAACATAATACTAGCTTTAAATACATAGAAAAGATAGACTAGTAATTAATTCAGTCTATACCATGATATGAACTATATACAATCATATTTGTTTCTCTACATGGAAAAAAAAAAAAAAAAGACAACAGAAAATGGATCACATTAGAATACCTTGTAGCCATTGTCTTGTTTTGGATTATGGGAAGCAGTAACCATAATTCCAGCACAAAGCTTCAGATGAGTTACTGTGTATGGCTGTAACAAGAGAAAGTTACTTGAAGTAGAACATGCAACATATTGTATATTATTTCTTCTCATGCATATATAATACTTCATAGTATGAAAAGAAAGTCAGTATGAAATACACAATGACTCCCTAAAGCAGAAACTAGATAGTACTTGTTCCACCAGACTCCATGTGACTCAGCTTCAGCCCTTTTTTTGTCTTATGCATTTTTCTATTTACACGTTATTAATGTTGTTCCAGATGCTTTGTCAATGTCTATTGTATTTCTAGAGGGAAGACAGATGCACATGTTGCCTACTGTGGAATGACTTGAGGTACCAAAGGCCTTAGAGGGTGTTGAGTTTGTTGGGGTAATGACCCAAGTCAGCAGCAGAGAGCTGCAGCTCAAGCAGTCTCATCCACACTGCCTTTTGGGAGCAGCCTGGGGAGCAGCTACTCCATCAGGGTTCAGAAGAGAATTGTTTTGGAGAGAGCTCTTATAAATTAGCTCAAAACAGATGGAGTGAATTAAAAATGAAGCATTATTCATTAACACAGGTCAAATTTGTGTTTACCCCTGGCTCTTTAATTAATAGTGAAATGCAATCAACTGCAGTTCTTGTTACACCACTTTAAACTGCACTATGAAGAATTTGACCCTAAATTTATAAAAAATTTTATCAGTATAAGAATGCTATGTAGAAAGTCTTTATACCACTGTGTTCTGTTTGCAATCCTCACTGGAGCAACTGGTATAGGGAGAAATTACTGCTTTTAGGACAAGGGCCTAAAGGCTAAAGGACAAGAAGGGCTGTTCTGTGTTGCTCTGGAGACACCTGGTGTTCTGATGGGGGCATCGTGGACACTATCCAACAACCCTTCTGGCAAAACATCACTGCACTCCAACAACTTGCTATTTTGGATCCAATATCTCCCCTTGCCCCTCCTCCCTCAAAAAAGAAATAAACAAACAAACAAAAACAAAAAAAAAGGTATAAAAAAAAGGTAAAAATCCAGACAAATATGAGTGCATGTTTCAGACTTCAGACTCCACAGCTATCTGCTGACATTCCATATTCTTCCTTCCCTATGGATGTTGTAAACAACACATAGCTAAATAAGACCAAGACTCTCTAGAGGAAGAGCTTAAAAAGTAAGAACTGGTTTGTGTAGTCATCCTTAATTTAAGTAATCCAAGGTATCTGACAGAATTTGTGTACATTTAAAGCAGATAAAGTAATAAAAAGATATAATGAAAAACCTACCACAAAGGGAGTTGGTATTATATCAGAAAATAGATAAACTGGAACTCCCTGACTGATGAAGGTATTGGCAGCAAGTCTTGCAAACCTAAACAGGAAGAAAAGACACCATGAGAATATATTCATTTTCTTGCCTATTAGTTTCCTGGAATTCACAGCTTTTCCTCCTACCCTAATGCAATTACAAAATCCCAACAAAATCAATTATCAATATATCTCAATTATTGTACAGACCCAATTTAAACGTGTTCCCTCACTATTCCCAATAGACAAAGCACAACTCTAAGAACTGCTTTGGCATTACCAGTATATAAGAATACTGTAAATCCCACACATTAATTAACTTTACAGAAAGAAAATACAACTGAAGTAGATTCATCATGGATCACACAAGGTAGCTACAAAATCCTGAACACAAAACCTAAGAAGTACCTTTTGCTACTACCTCCACTGGAAAGATGAGCACGAGCATCAAACCCAATCACAACTCCTCTCTTTTTCAGGTCACTGAAATTCTTCTCAAGGTATCTGCAAAATCCCTTAAGACAACAACAAATCCACATCATTAACCCAATCTTGATGTTTAATTTATCATCACATTAAGATAATAGCTAAGATGCTGATATCTTAGGAAGCTGAGCACACATAGCATCTCACTGAACTGCTCTGGGATTTTGCTTGCCCAGGACCAATAAACACCACCCAAATCAATAGTGCAAACCTATTAACAGCATTTAAATACTTTTCAAAATATCACAATCAATTCTGAAAAGGAACTGGTAACACAATTAGTCTGAATTGCAGGTTTTGAGAAATGATTCAGCTGTCATAGGTCTCACATGAGGAAGAGAACAGCTGGCCAGTGTTTCAGCTTTTTAACCAAATTTCACCCTTAATAATGACATCTTTTTAGCACATGATGCATCACCACTCCAGGCTGCAGTTATTTAAGGCTGTGGGCTTTTTCCCCAAGTAGATCTACTTCAGGATTCATTTATGTATACATACCTTCACTGCCTTTATGTAAAACCATGTCTAGCATACACAAAGCTTAACCAAATGTTGGCTACCTTTGGGGTTTTTTTGTAGTTGTTACAACAGCACTGTTACACTTGAGCTTAACTGCAGCTGTGTATAAATTAAATTGCAAATCAAATACGGAAAGTAACTTCTTCTAATGGTTTAATAGCTTCTCTCTGCTTGATCAGCACTCAGCTATTAATTATAATTTAAATTACTTCTGAAGACTGGAAGAATAGGAGAGAACTTGTACTTCCATAGGATACTCATTTGCTTGCCATAAATCAGGCTCTTCCATTCATATACACAACCAGTTAAGTGAGATGAAGTGCTGAACACAATACCTGGGTTGTCTGGATAATAGTCAAGTCATTCATGTGGGAAATCCCTGCTCCCATGGCAGCTCTGAGCCCTGCTGTGCCAAACTCCATCCGTGAGCCAAAGTATTTCTGCAGTTCTCCAGCATTTCCTTCCGCAAGCAATTGTTTCACGATTGCGTAAGTTTTTGGATTCTGTTGATACAAAATTCAGACATTTTAAATGAGGATTTGTCTTAACAGAGTTCTGACTTTCTGTCCCAGTCCCTGGGTTTGAGTATCACAACATGGCACACAACTTCCAGAACACCAGAACTCATGCCGTCTTCTTAATTTTAAATCAGTACAACCTCAAGTATTACTTATTTTAGATTTCCTTAAATGAACATGATACCTGGACAGCAACATGTGTGTTTGTATATATATATATATATATATATATGTATATATATATATATATGTATATATATATATTTGGGATGTTAAAAGATTTCCAAGATGTCACTTTTAATGTTTTCTATTTTTAAAAACAAAACAAACAAAAAGCAGCACTTCCACAGTTCAGAGAATTTTTCCACATCACAAGAACTATACAAAACATTTAAGAAACTAAGTTACGTTAATTATTAAAAAATATTTGTTATTTCTATAGCACTGTTTAAAACAAATTAAATCATAACCTTGTCCCAGGACTGGCTAACAGCAGAGGTAGCAGAAAAACTAAGCAGACTGGGCAGAAGATAATTTCCAACATATTTGCAGGAAACACTTGTAAAAATAAGCATAACCCTCGGATGAAAGCCTAGAAACTACAGCCAAATTCTTAAATAAAATTGCTAAAGAGTGGCAACAAAAATGCCATGTCAGACCACTGTTCTCTGTGGAGCTTCTAACTTTCACTGCTTTTCTTGGGATATTGCTTGCACAGATTCTCTATTGCTAATTACTCTTTCCGTTTCCAGACACAGGGAATTAGCAAAGTCCTGTATGCCTCAACTTTTCAACGTTATGAGACTTGTGAAGTTCAGTATTTGATTTCTGGAGAACTTATGAGCCAAGAGGACAGATGGCAGACTCCTGACAACAGGATTATCTGGAGAGGCAGCAGGTTGCTCACTGCATGAGTACACACACTTTACTCTGGTGTACAGATTCTTATTTCCAAAGGGACACAAACTTGGATTTCTAGGGAATTAAATGAACTCATAAAAGCATTGGACTTTACTATTTCCTGGATGACCTAGGTATCCTTACAGCAAAGAAAAGTGTATCATTCCAGGCAAAAAAAGGAAAAAAAATTAAATGTAAAACCATGTATCTTCTGCAGCTTCAGAAAACGCTGCAAACACATAAGTAGTAGGCATGTGAGTAAGTTTGCATACAAAGGTATACACATTCTGCACATCAAATGAAGACCAGAGTGGGGATGTCCTAAGCACTGACCTGTGCACCCACTGCCACAGGACAAACATAGTTTAAATATATACTGGAAAAGCTAAAGAGCCTTTAGTGCTAATGAACAAGCTGCATAATGGAGAATAAACTGAAGAATAAAAAATAAAATCCAGCTTCTTGAATGCAATAAACAATTAGGTACCCCAGAATCACTGATTTCCAGTGCAAATATTACCAATTTACCAGTTCAAGAATGTTGTAACAGACACTTCCTTGTAGACAGCTTGACACAATTGTCTATTACTATTGGGTAATTACATTCTGCAAGAATAAATATAATTCTATGCTGTTATAGAATATATAGGGCAGCGTAACTGAGTTTAGGCTGTTTACAAGTTGACATCAAGTTTTTGCTGTATTATCAGGCCTATGACTCAAAGGTAAAACCTGAATGACACCATTTGCATCTAGTTTTGTACACTGCCTAGTCACCTTTTAATTTCTCTGTGTGAGCTCTGTGCACATGAGTCATCTCTTAATACTGAAATGAGCATGTTTTTAGGCAGATACCACACACATTTCTACAGATGTTTAACAGACTAGAAGCTGTAATGCCAATGCAGAAGGACATCAGGAGCATCCTGCAGCCCTCACAGCCAAGGAGTATTTTGTTTGTTTTTGTTAGAGCAATTTCCCAGGTTTGGTATCTAATGTGAAACTAGAGGGATCCTCCAGTTTTTTAAGTCTGGTTAAATGTACATGTCCAGGGGGCTGCTCAAATCTTAGGGGTTTCATTCCATATGATTTTCTACAGAAAACTTGGTTGCATTAATTTAGTTATTCCCCACTGCCTGCCTTCACCCAACACCAAATAATGGTGAAAGCCAGGCCAAGTCTGTTCAATATGGCAGAAGGATTTTTCCAGAACTATAGTTATAATTGTTTATAGCTATTTTCTCCTAAGAATGTACCTATTTTTTCTTCTGTGGAGAACGTTATGATGCCATTGTACACAGCTAAGTAAAAAACTAATCTTGGTTTTGGCTTTTTCTTCTGCCTAAACAAACTCTTCACAGCATTTCTACCAAAGAAGGACCAAATTGTATCAGAAGGATGAAGTGCTGGCTTTTTACTTTCTAATTGATTCTCCCAGGTTACACTTTTTCTGCTCTCAAATTAAACCAGATGTGAGTACGGGAGTGCCATTTTCTGTTAATACAGGCAGATGATTTAATACCAAGATAATATCACTAGTGCAATTAGCCTGAACATCACCTGGTAACACTCAAGTTATTTACTTTAATCTACACTACAGGAAGGCCCAAAGAGTTATCATCAGTAGAGTAGTCCCCACAAGGTTTTGCAGGAGAGGAAAAACTTCTGACTAAACAGATTTTATTTTTACTAAAACCAGAAGCTACCTTCCATTCATAATTCTGTGACTGACAATAGAAAGAATGAAAAATATGTTATTACTGTAATGAGCAGAGTGATGAAAACAGCCTGGTAACAAGCAGAGTAATTGTCATGTAGGTAGGAACTTCCAGTTAGGTCAGCAGGACTGCCATCAGCCATAAGGGCTTGCTCTTGCAGATGATTATTTTGTAAGAAACATGGGGCTTATCATCATTAAATATTAACCTAGCTCTGCATATCAAAAAGGAACTTTTTTTTTATATCAGAGTAAATGAACAAGGGTTACATCTGATTCTTCTGTTGCTCAATAGAAACATGCAACAGTTCCCTGAGAAATTAAAATACCTCATCATATTTGAGCAATCAGGAATGGGTATTGCACACTAGTCAATTATTACTGAATCAAAAATGCAAGTGCTAACAGAGGGTTAAACTTTCAAAAGTAAAGATGCTATAAGGGATATTGCATTAGATTTCCATAGAGTTTAATAAAAGAATCAGAATAACCAGTTGAAAAGCAAATTATTACACAGAGGACAGGAATATAACTAATGCTGGTGAGGGAAGCTATGTAAATAAGAGGCTCTAAAACCAAACTATTTTCTCAAATTCAATTAAACTGAGGGAAAAAAGGCATAAAAGCATATTGTCATTTGATGTGAGGCATTAGCATTTCTGAAAAGAGGACTAGTTTGGCACTGCTCTATCACTAATAAAACCAGAACTTGGTAACTGGTCAGTTAAACAGTTTACTGATTTGAATGAAGAATCACAAAAACCTCAAGGTACTTCTAATGACATCCTTTAGAACCTGGAAAGAATACTGAAAAGGATAAATATTGTATGTTTCCACTGATACCTTTGAAATAAGCAGAAGATGCCTTACCAAACAGGTATGTGTGCCACACAATACTCAGAAAGCATTGCTGAATGCTCAGCCCAGGGGAAGTCAATTTAGTGACTGAAGAGGGTCAATGGCTAGTGTGTTCCAATACAGTCAAATGAACAAATTATATGAAAAAGGACATAAAAAATGCAAGCCAAATGTGCCAATAGAGGCCTGCATCTCAGTGGGACTTGCAGCAGCAAGCAACTACATGACCATTTCCAGAACACCACTATGGTAAGATATTTCTTTAGGTATCTGGAAAACAGAAAGACACAGAAGATTTTACTTCTGCATATAGTGTTGTCAAAATCAAAGATAAATCTCAACAGGAAGGGAAGTTACACCTGAAAAAACCAGGACCGAGAGCTTGTGGATTTCCAAGTGTTTTTGAAGTGAGCACCCATGTCTTTTGGGATCAATATTTTAGTAAACAAGAATTTGAAGGTACCAGGAGGTTTTTAACACTGAGAGACAGATAACAAGGCAATGTATGCTGGCCTTTAATAATTCAAGTCTACCAGCTGCCCTGCGACTGAACAATACAGGTCCTTTTGGAAAAGACGTTCGGTAGAGCTAAAAGCCAGAAGGAGCGCCCAGCCGGGATGCTTCTAACCGAAAGCGGCGGCTGCTGCGGCAGGTGACCGAGCAGCGCCGTGCGGGGGGCGGCAGAGGCGGGGGGCGGCAGCCCCACCTGAGCCGGCCCCGGAGGGAGGGGATGGATGGAGGGGTGGGAGAGCACCCCTCTGTCAGAGAGCTCTGCAAGCAGAGCCAAAGGAGCTAACGGGTGCTTTTACCGCACCCGAAACCGGCACAACGCAACAGCCGGGCGTCACGCCGCGCCCCCGACCCTTCTCCAGCCCGCGCCCCCCGCCCAGCGCTGCCGGCCGGAGCCGCCGCCCCTCACCTTATCCCAGAGCAGCCACTGCTCGGCCGCGCGGCGCAGCGCGCCGTCCCCCGCGGAGCCCCGCGCTGCCATCCCGCTCGCCGAGCGCCGCTCCGCTCCTTCCCTCTTCCGGAGCGCGCCCGGGCGCTGCGCTCCGCCCCGGGCCGCACCGCCTCCGCCCCGCCCGCCGCCCGGGCCGGGGTCAGGGTCGGGGCCGGGGCCACGGCCGGACAGGGCGGCCCCGCCTCCCTCGGGCCCGGCGGGCGGGCTTGGGGCCCTTGCTTAGAGCGGGGATTTAATGGCTTTTTTCCCGGGGCGCTGAACGTTGTCAGCTGGGGCTGCGGCTGCCGGCCCGGGGAGCCCCGGGCAGCCCCTAGCCCCGGCCCCCGCACTCGCACTGCGCCGAAGGAGGAGGAGCGTTCAAATAACAGCTGGAAAGCAGCGCTGGACACAGCCGCCGCCTCCGCAGCGTGGCTGACTGGAAAGTAGCGCTGTTGTTGGGAGTGTCACATTCCACAGGCATTGGACTAAGGCGACTGAGATTCCTTTTTTTATAGTCGAGATAAATGAGGGATGAGTTCGGGAGCACCTAATTTAGGATAAAGATTACGACTAGATTATCTTTAAAGTCCTTTCTGAAACGTGCTATGATTCTAAAATTTTCTTAGAAATAATTACTTGTACAGATACTTGAAAACCTTTCGAAGTTCACTAGTACATTACCAGAATGCATGTGAACAAGAGAAATGCTACATCACTTGCAAAAATGTTAATGCATATACTTATAGTCACTACTGATCAGTTAAATAATTGTTATGATACCCTTAAAGAAAAACTGTTATGATGAAACATTAGAGGAACAGAAGAATAAGAAAAACAGAAAAAAAAAAGTTGTTTGTCTGCTTTTCTATCATCTGTTTTCTCTATCATTTTGATAATGGTCATTTAACCCAGTTCCTCTGGCCTCTGCATCTCTGGCTGAACACAAATCTGACCTCAGCTGCAAAATTAGGAAAAAAAAAGTAACTGAATTTCACTCAGGAAAATGGACTGTGTTCCTTCTGCTGGAATTGAAGAACAGGTTAATATGGCTTTGATTGAATATTACTATAGCTTATATCATGGTGCCTTTGACAGAAGCCTGAACTGCCAAGCTGCTGCTCTGTCTAAACAGTTCCTATAACTAGGCTTGCATTTTAACTAGAATCCTGTGAAGATGCTATGATAAGCCCCTCTATCCTGGTTGATTTCTTACAAATTTTTTTGGGCAAACATGCAGACCAGAGAACACTGAACCCTCTTTCTTGCCTAATAAGATTTCTGTCATCAGCTTTGCAAAGTCCTAAGGGAAACAGTAGTCTGAGTGCTCTGGAGCTTCAGGACAAGGCGTTCTGGAGGCTTTCCCTATATTTTATCAGTCTCTATCTGAAGCTGGGCTGAACCAGGTGATGCACATCTGCAGGGAGTGCCATAAGGAGTGACTGGGATTTCCCTGTTTAACTCTGCAGTACAGGCCAAGGTAGGGGAAGATCCCCGAGAGTGGTACGGATGCAGTGTGTGTTGCAGGTGTTCTGAGGCTGCTGAGAAATGCAGGATCACTGTGAAGGTGCCATACAGGAGGAGCAGATTATTAATTTGCCAGGAATGCCAAATCCTGAATCTGAACTCTTGTAAGGGATATCCTCCCCAGGCACTTTCCAACAGTGCTTCAATGGGAGCAATTGGAGCATCCCTTTTCCCCCAGGTTTAGAGGATGGGGCAAATGAGGAAGGGGCTGGCCTTGTGTAAATGTCACTGAACTTCTACATGCTGATCAAAGGCAGGAAAGAAGTAACCACAGGAAAAAATGAAGATTTGCTTATGTGAAGAATGATACAGCCACTACCACACCAACCTTGTAAAGCACCATAACAAAGTACTGCCACTGACTCAACTGAAGGAGGTGACAGATTCATGGAACATGTCCTCTTTCCTTTGAATACCTGAGGTTGGCTATAAATCAAGCAGGTTTTCTTCAGGATGGACCAAAATGGTTATCAGGATCCAGTACTCCATATGAGTATAGGCTCAGCTGTGTCACAGAAAAAAACTCTTTCAAAGTTCTTGTCTAATACCTTTTGAGACTGCTCTAAGCAGAGTGGCCAGAACCATGCAACCTGCAAAGTGCCACAGTCCTGAAAATTTCATGATCTAATGATACCAGAAGAGGCTGAGCATGAAAGAATAGCCAACTGCTGCCTGCAGTTGCTGCTGTGATGAACACAGTTTTTCATTAAAACAATACTGTGTAAAATATTTCAAAATACTATATAACTTAACAGGAAGATCCTTCCTAGTGATTCTTTCAAAAAGTGAATTTCCAAGAAAGAATTCAGAACCCAACAGTATTTCATGAGAAGCCCTAGACACTGAGCTGGAGAAAAATTGGTTGACTACATGTTAAAAATCAGATAAAACTGAGACATAAAGGATGATGTGTTCTCCTTTTTTTTTTCTTTCATGTGTTACCAAACCCAGCTGAAACTAACAAAATAAAACTTTAAAAATCCATTCAATAAACCAAGTAAGTTTGCTGACGTTATACTCTTTTTTGGGAACTTAAAAGACTATCTAATTTTAATTAGATCTTTGAAACAGGTGGAATCATAAATAAATTCATATTAATGCTAAATCTTCAGAGTAGCATACTTTGTGGAGTACCTAAAGCATCCTTTTTGACCTACATTTTCTGAAGTGAAATGTTTCTGATGAAAACTGAATGTTATAGCTTGAGCTCAGTGTGGCTGCAGCTGCATAGGCTTTTAACACCAAGTAAATGGCATTTGTCTGTAAGCTGTATTAGTCTTTAGCCTTAACACCACAGCACCAAATTGCTTTATTTAACTTGCAGATAGGAAGAGCAATGCTCATCAATATCTTCAGTCAAGTCTTGAATTTTATGTTATCTGCAACTATATTTTTCCAACATATATAAATACCTGAAGGGAGGATGCAAAGGGGCTGGAGCCAGGCTCTTTTCAGTGGTGCTCACTGACAGGACAAGAGGCACAAACTGAAACAGAGGAGGTTCCTGGTGAACATTAGGAAATACTTTTTCACTGTGACAGTGACTGAGCACTTAAAGAGGTTTTGGAGTCTTCATCTTTGGAAATATGTAAAAGCCATCTGGTTTTTGGGCAGGTGGGTCTTGAGCAGAGAAGTTTGACCAAATGGCCTCCAGAGGTCTTCTCCAACCTCAACCATTCTGTGACTCTGAGATGTTGACACATTCTATAATACATGAGATGTTGCATGTTATGGCAAGGAAACTAAAATTTTCATTGCTGACCTATGCAGTATTGTGATACAGCTGTAGAGAAAATTTGTGAAATGCTAACTAATGTAGGAATGTGCCCCCTGCTGACAGAGTAAACAAGTTACTCTTTGTCTCCTAAAAAGGACAAAAGCCTGGAAGTTTCTCTCTTCAATTTGGTTAAAAGACACCTCATAGGACCTTGGAGACTTCACCTCAAACTTAAAGACTGCTAATTGGACAGGAGCCAAAAAGTCCCACCTAAGCAATTCACTAGAAAATAAGAGAACAAAAGAAGTAAATTGCTTTTGTGAAGTGTTTCAGCGGCAGCAAGAACCTCTTGCCCTGGCTCAGTTTTTCTCTGTAAAGAGCTTTTTTATTTTGCTTTTTATTAAAACTTTTTTGTTTCCAACACTGTCACAGGAGCCATCCTGCTACTTATGCCACCTGAGGGAGCTGAGCTATCACGGGTATAATGTTTGTCTATGAGAGCTTGTAAGACCTGGCTCAAATAGATAAAACATTAGCAAACAGCAAGTGAAAGTTATGTTATGTGTAGTAAATATAATTTGCACCATTGTGTAAACAGCTCAAGATGGATATCATGGACATCCTCAGACAGATACATGGGAATGCAGCCTTCCCGTAAAATCTCATCAGGAATTCACCTACTCCGGACACTGAATTGCACTGAATTATTTCTCCTCATCACCAAAAAATAAAATCTTATTAACCTATGGACTCTGAATAGAAGAAAAGACTGATTGCTGAAATCTTGGCCTCAGGTGGAATTTTCCCTATAAAAACTGCTTGGGTCAGGATGGAGGTGTGTGGGCATAAGGGAAGACCTCTCCTGAGGCTGACTCCTTGTTGCACACCCAGGGCCGATTCCCGGGCTCGGCACTGTCTTTTTCCGTGGCTGGCTACATAGAATTTGACTGCTAATAAAATTAATTTTTTTCCTTATTTTTAATCTGGCTGAATAAATTCTCATTTATAACAGTTACAATTAGGGATATTTTCTTGTTGTGTGTACAGATATTACATTTAAACTCTTCTATCCAATTCCCCCATTTTCAGTATGCTTTTAGTGCGTGATCATTCTCCATTTGCAGCCAGCTGGGACATAACAATTGCAATGTGTGTTACCTACAGAAATAAAAGGACTAAGGATTATAGACTATTACTGATGACAAGTTAAAGTTAGCTTTAGGTTCTCAGAGCTTAGTGTACATACTTGTCTTAGCTTCACTACTTTAAACAGTCTGAAAAAATTAAAGGTATTTTATTAATTTTCACTTATATCACTAGCTTGAAATACTAGTAGGGGGAAGGAGAGAAAAAAGCTTTGATTCTACAGCACAGATTGACTGGGAAACTGTGGTGTACATTGCACATTTCAAAAAGCACATATAGCCCTCAGAAGAGGATATTGTCTTAAATAAAGCACTGCTCCTGTAACCTGATGAGAGGGGAGGGGGAAGCAGGGGAAGAAAAGGAAGGATGTGGTGATTATTGTATTCATGGCTTGAATTCTAGCATTTGTTCTCCACTTCTGTTGTCTACCAGATAACCCAAGGATGTGTCAGATTATTTTATGCTTCCTCTTTGAATTTTTTTCTCCATTGTTTATTGTAAGTTTTGTTATAAATGAAAATTTGTCCAGCCAAATTAACATGAAAAAATAAAATATTTATTTTATAATCAAATTCTATCTAGCCAGCCACAAGGAAAGAACAGAGCCGAGCCCGGGGTTGGCCCTGGGTGTGCAACAAGGAGTCAGCCTCAGCAGAGGTTTTCCCCTATGCCCACACACCTCCATCCTGTCACAAGCAGTTTTTATAGGGAAAATTCCACC